GGGGGTGGAGACCCCCCCCCCCGGTGCCGGCACGGATGAGATGCCTGCGGCACTCACTGGCCGCGGCGGGCAAGGCGACCGTCTCGGCCCAGCTGCCGGTGCCTGCCTGCAGCTAGCTGTAGATGGTGGTGGGGTGGTCTTGCTGCTCGGGGCCAGAAAACAGGGAGAAACCCCCCCCAAGCCACTCACCTTTTGGCAGGGGGATGGTCGCAGCCGCTCCCTGGCTGGGGACATGGTGGCCCTGGAAAGTGCCCTTCAATGTCACCTCGTGGCACCTCCCCATCCACCCCAGGAGCCAGGAGCTGCTTCCAGGGGGATGGGGTTTGTGGAAGGGGGCTGCAGCCCCCAGCTCAGGGGACGTCGGGGACATGGAGGGACCGTCAACCTGGAGGGAAGGGCTGAAAGCTGGAGCCTGGCCCCAGCATGAGCCGAATTCAGCTCCAGCATCGCTGTGCAACTGGCCAGGAGCCAAATTTGGCCCCGGCCCCCCAGCCTCACCCACTCATGCGTCTCTGGGGGGGGTTCTCCTTTGGATCTCGGCGTAAAATGGCTCCGACAGAGCATCCTTGCTGGAGGGGGAGGTGAGGGCGGCTATGGAGAGAGGAGCAGGTGGGAGTGAGCCAAGGGGAGCTGGGATGCGGGGAAGGAGGTGATGGAGCCATCCTGGTCCAGGCAGGGCAGGCAGGGGAAGGCAGGCAGGCAGAGCCACAGCAAAGGAAAAAAGCTGGTTCCCTCTTTCCCAGCTCTGTTTGCTAAGCAATCCCGGCTGCGAAGACATAGCCTTGACCCAGTAGCACCCACCTCCCTTGGCTGCTTTCTTCCTCCTCTTCTTCCTCCGCAGCCAGATGATGTTGAGCAGGGCTCCCACACCCATGGCCAGCGGCCCCAGGCACATATGCCACCTCCACCAGTCAGGCGTCCCTGCTGCAACAAGCCGTGGTGGGTGCCAGGACACTGCTGGTTGGGTGGCAGTGGGTGCCTGGGGGGGTGGGGTGGGTGTTTACCCTGCTGGCACAGGGCATCCAGGGGGATGGAGGTGTTCTTCTCCTGGATGGGATTTCGGGCCACGCAGGTGTAGCTGGAGTTGAAGGTGCTGGCAGGCATGGCCAGGCACAGCGTCTGGCTGTCTTCACAGAGCTGTCCCCATGGCGTCCTGGGGGAGCTGCTGAGCTGCCAGATGGCTTCAGCATCGCTGCCGGCCGGCACCCAGCACCACAGGGTGACATTGCACCCTTGGGTGGTGAGGGAGAGCAGCTGGTGCTGGATCCCCGGCACTGGCACCAGCCCTGTTTAAGGTGTAAACAAAACCTGTCATAGGACCCAGCCTGCCCAGGGACACCCTTGATCCCCCAGGGAGAGCGAGCTGGGCCAGAGGGGCAGCGAGGGGGTGTGGGAAGGGGAAGTGCAGGTGGGGGTGGATTGTGGTTAGTCATAATCCCAGGAAAATTCCCATGACAGATGCTCAGCAGCAAGAACAATTTCTCTTCCCCTTTCCTGGGCGCTGATAACTCCAGGTGTAGAAGGGTTTTATTGCCTGTCCCACATGCTGGTGCCGCTGGGGCTGTAAACCCAACTCTACCACCTGCTGCTTTGCAGCCGCTCACTGTAGACAGAGAGGTTGAAGGACTGATTCTCCACCACGTCCAGGTGCAGTTTAATCCAAGCCCTGTAGACCCCACTGTCACTCTGCTCCAGGGCCCTGATCTTCAGTGCTGTCTTGTTGAACATCTCCAGTTAGTCCTTGAACTGGTCCTTGGGGTCGGGGCGCTTGAAGCCACGGGGGTCAAACTCTGCCACCTGAATGGTGGCACCAGCACCGACTGAAAAGCTCCACTCAATCTCCTTCACTGTCTTGTTGGGGTACAGAACCTGGGAGAGCAGCACAGACCCCCCCAGGATGCCGTTCACATGCCAGGGCTGGGCAGCCTGGCTGGGACAGGGATAGTGTGGAGGATGGGGACCCCCAGCAGACCCCCTGTTCCTGCCCACAGCCCCCACCTGAGGTACCTGTGGGCACCTGCCCACTGGTGCCTTACTCATGACAGTGCAGTGCCCACCTGAGATGATTCATTTAATCCCACACCCATCACCTCTCCTGCCAGCATACCTGGTGGCTGGGTACCACGCATGGGGCTAGGCATCCCCCAGGGCCAGGGGGGATGCTGGGCGCTCGTGGTGCCTTCCCAGTATCATCTTGTGTTGTCCCAGTGTCACGCCACACTGTGCATGGGTCATCCCCATGATAGGGACCAGCCAGGGCTTCACGGAGAGGATGGGGATGCTCTCCCCACCATGCCTGCGCCCAAGTGAGGCTCAAACTGGGGCACATTTGAGGTTAAACCTTTGGGAAATGTTGCCATGGGTCCCAGTGGCGACAGGGACCCTCCGTCCAGGGCTGTGGGGCAGCTCAGCGCTGAGCTTTTTGGGGGGGCGCAGCCCCTCTATTCCTGGGGTGACAGTGAGATGCTCCCAGCAGCAGAGCTGCCCACACCAGGCGATGCGACTCCAAGATGTTGAATGCTGCAAGATGTTGATGCAGCCACCCCCGGACAGGGGAAAGACAGACAGACAGCCATGTCCCCACACTGCAGGGCTCATTCTGCACCCCAACTCACCGGTTGTTCACCTCTTGCATGCTTTGGGGCCGGCTCTGACCTCTCCCTCCACTGCTTTGTTTTTCAGAGAGGAAGGAGAGGTGAAGGGCACCACGCAGCCAGCATAGCTGCAAACCGCATGCACCAGCGCAGCATTGGGGGGTTCATCACCCATCATGCGAGCATGGCTGTGGACACCCCCACCCCCCAGTTCAGGGCATGCGCTCCCCTGGGAGCAGAGTCGGGGGATTCATTTGGGTACCACCACGTCGGGTGCTGGCGGGACACTGCGCTCAGTTCAGCGGCTGTGTGTGGTGGTAGGGAGTGAGACCATGGCACTGCCGTGTCCCAGCCATCCCCAGGGGCACCCAGCTAGGTGGTGGTTAAACGCTGGGCAGCACCCAACCCCTGACCACTCATTGCACCCATCGAGCGTTTTCCAGGTGCACCCGACAGCTGCAGGATACAGGGCCCCCCCCAAACCCCGAAGAGGTGGGTATGTAGCAGTAATGCTGCAGCACAGCCAGAGCAATCCAGGGCCAAGCCACCCTTTGGCCTCCCTCTTCCTCCTCATGGAAACACACAGGCAAACAAAGAGGGGAGATCGCCCCTCCTTGCCTTCCTCCATAACTCGCCAAAATTAATTTTCCTTTTTCCTGTGGCGGGTTAGCTGGGCCGAGGGCATCCAGCAGCAGCCACGGAGCAGAAGAAGGAGGAAACAGCCCCAAGCGCTGGCCCTGGGGTCCATAAACCTCTTGAGGATTGATTTATGCTGGCAATAAAGTGAGGAGGGGAGGCTGAGCAATGCCCCACATCATTTCCCCCCATCAGCTGCAAGCAAGCAGCCCCAGCTCACCCCAGCTCACCCCAGTAAGGAACCACCAATGCCCTGGTGCATCATTCCCGGCTTCTTTGCCGAGGGAAATTCCTGTTCTTGCCCTTAATATTTCATGTATTTTCTAAACTCCCAGGGCTAGGGTTCGTTTTGCAACTGGGACCCAAAGCCACACTCCCCAGCTCTCTCCCACCACTGCCCGCTCCCTAAAAAATGGGGGTCGCAAGCATCGGAACAGCCATGGTCCCCCCCCAGCACAGTTGCTGCCCTCCCCTCACTCCTACCTGCCACCACGAGGAGCAGCGCCAGTAGCCAGGGGACGCGGGGACATGGGCGGCCGAGCGACATCCCCATTGCTCCAACACTGCTGCGAGCTCAAAACCTTGATCTCAGCTCTATGTACCAGCTTGGAGGGAGTGAACATGCAAATCTACCCACGTATGGTAACACACCTTCCCAGGGGAGGGGTGACGCAAAGACACCATGGGGATGTCGCCAAGCCACAGCCAGCACAGCCCAGCCATGGGTTGGGGTCAGTGGGATCTCTCCCTCCAGCTGCACCAAGGGTTTTTTGCTGATCCCCAAAACCCCCAGGCTGATCCCCACTGCCCAGCCCTTGATTTCCCCCTGGGAACCAGGTGTAATAAATAAAGGAAAGAGCCCGATGCTGTCTGCTCCTGCCTGCTGTTGGGTAAATAATACCAGCTGGGCTGGCTGCCTGTATGGAGCTGAGCACACCTGGGATAAGGATGAGTCCTTGTTCCCACCATGGGGCTAAGCTGGGGTGGCTGCTCTTCCCAAGGAAGGTTTCCCTGGCTTTAAATTGAGGGGAGAGGGTCCCTGTTGGCTTGGAAATGTCCTGGTTGGGTTCCCGGCACCCGGGATGTTCCATCCCCAGCACCAGGGATATCCCGTTCCCCTGCCCCGATGCTGCATTTCTTGCTGGGGGCTCGGCCAGTTTCTTACCACCAGCAGCAAAGTCTTTGCTTGAGAAGCTTTTGCTGCATCAAAACCCCCACAGCAGCAGCAGAAGACAGGTAAAAGAGGAGCAGGTCTCTGGGGACAGCCCTGCCCTGTCCCCATGGCGGTTGTCACCCCTTGGGACTCCCAGCTGTGATGGAGGGTCAGGCTGCGAGAGCCCCCTGGGTTTCGGGGAGGGATGTGGGGGGCCGGGCTGGCCCCAGGCAGCACACAGACCACAAGCAGAGGTCACGCCGCTGCTGCCTTTCCAAAAAGGGAAGCGAGAGGCAGCTGTGTCGCTCCTCTGCACACAGGGGGCCTGGCTGGGGTTTCTTGGGCTGCAGCCCCAAACCTGGGCAGTTTGCACGGCCCCAGGATGTTTTTACTGCAACGGGTCCACGTGCGGATGCACGGAGAGAAAGAGGTGTACGTGTGCACATGCACATGCATGCACACACACGCACATGCATGCCCACGCACACCCACGCGTGCCCGCTCCACCAGCTCTCCCCTGTGATCTCACCAACATTTATTTGCTGTTTTTACAACGGCGGGAGGTCTGGCCGAGCGAGGGGCCCCGTGACAGTAGGTGCTGGACACACAGGCAGTGAGACAACCCCTCCATCGTCACAATACGGGCTACACAGGCAACAGCTCGGGGAGTGGGGAAGGGGGGGGTGCTTCTCAGTGGGTCTGCATGGGCGACAGTCCCTTCTGCATCCCTCCATGGCCCCGGAGATGCCACCTGGGTCCACTCCAGTGGAAGCTGCATGGGACGGGACTGGGGGGACACCCCAGTGTCCCCCCTCCCCGTGTCTCTGTGGCAGCGGCGAAGCGGGTGGGCAGGTCCACCCTGTGTGGGCATCTCCCCACAGAGGGTCCCTGTGAGGCTCCGGGGGGGGAGCTGAAGGTGGGGGGGAGGCCTGGGAATGGGTGGGAGTGGGGTGGGGTGGGAGGGTGTCAGTCTGCCCAAGGGGGTCTCATCCTGGACGTGCAGTGCCGTGCTGAAGCAGCATGGCCTGGCTGGCACCAGGATGTGCCCCTGCCCTCCCCAATGCCCCCAGCCCCGGCCAAGCCCGGCAGTGGCAGCATGTGGGAGGTGAACCCCAGTGTGTGTGTGTGTGTGTGTCCCCATCCCGGAGCATCCCGGGGGTATCTGGGGACCACGGAGGGTCCCCCAGCTTCGCCGCTGCTTGTCTCTGCCTTGGTCCGGGATCCTGCTCCCCAAAACAGTCTCAAAGGGCATCAGACAAGGAGATTGGAGAGAAACCGGAGGTGGGGGGGAAAGCATCCGGCCGGTTATCGCCCCGAGATGGTGCCTCCCATCCCCGGAGCCAAAACGGGGGCTGAAGGGTTCGGATTTGGCACACAACGCACTTTACAGCCCTTCCGGGAAATCCCGATGCTCCGGCTCTGCGGGTGCCTGCAGGAAAAAGGAGCCCCTTCAGCCTCCGCAGTGTGCAGTGATGGAGGTTCAGGGGGTCCCCACATACAGACACCCCCCCAACCCGGCATCAGTCCTTTTTTGAGGGCAGCCCCCCCGCACCTGAGGGCCTATGTCACCTCTTCGGCTGTGTCCTCTGGCGCCCGGTGGATCTGCTCATAGACGGTGGTGACCAGTGCTTTCTGTGGCGGGCTCTGCTCCTGGTTATTTTCAGGGTGACTGAGGCCCTGCGGCAGAAATTGGGGGGCTGCTGAGGGACCCACCAGCCCCACTCCCCTCCCCAGCCCGGGGAGCGCCTGCGGGTTGCTCTGCCCTGGCACGGAGTTCAGCCTGCACCCATGGGTGTCCCGTGGGGCCAGGACGCTGCTGTGGTCAGGATCCCCAGTGTGACCACGTCCCTGGTGTGGCTGGGATGCTGGTGTGGCTGGGACGCCCAGTGTTGATGGGACCCCCGGCATTGCTGGGACCCCCAATATGGCCATGACCCCCAGTGTGGCCATGACCCCCAGTGTGGCCATGACTCCAGTGTGACTGGGACCCCCAGTGTGGCTGGGGCCCCCATGATGCCATGACCTCAGCGTGACTGGGACCCCTGGTGTAGCCAAGACCCTGGTGTGGCCAGGACCCCCGGTTTGGCAGGACCCCCAGTTTGAAAATGACTCCGCTGTGGCTGGGACCCCCAGTGTTGTCATAAGCCCAGTGTGGCTGGGACCCCAGTTTGGCCAGGACCCCCTGGCATAGCTGGGGCCCCCAGTGTTGTTAGGACCCCAGCGTGGCCAGGACTCCCAGTCAGCCAAGACCCTCAATGTGGCTGGGACCCCTAGTGTTGCCATGACTCCCGGCATGACGGGGACTCCTGGAGTTGTCAGGACCCCAGCATTGCTGGGACCCCAGTTTGGCTGGGACCCCCTCAGCATGGCTGGGATCCCCCAGCACAGCCCTCCTTGGGAAGCAGCCCCCAGCCCCCCGGGGGCCTCACCTGGTCATTACCTTCCGGGGGGCTCCGGCGCACGATCTCGGCGTACTGGGGGTCAGAGGGGCTCTCCTCAGCGGGCGCTGTGGGGGTGGCAGCTGCAGGGGAGCAGGGCATGAGGGGGGGCCAGGAACTCCCACACACACTCCCCCAGGCCCCTCAAAGCCATGCCAACTCTCAGGGAGGGGGGCGGCTTCACTTGCCTGGGTCTGCTGCCTTCTCACTATTCATCCGCCAGCACCAGAAGGCTCCCCCCAAGCTCACCGCCAGCAGGATGAGGGTCAGGACGATGTACCCCGACTTTGAGAAGGACGTCTGTCCCCCTGGGTGGGCAGAGAGAGCAGTGCCAACCCCCCATCAAGGGCTGAGCCCCCCACCCATGCCAAGCCAGCCAGCTGATGTCGGACACCTGTGCATCCCCGGGGCGAGTGTCTCACCTCCGCTTTGGCAGATGGCTTGCAGGTCAAAGAGGACGACCTTCTGGTCAGCAGGGTTGCTGACAGTGCAGGCGTAGGTGACGTTGGCGGCGGTGGGTGGTAGGGCCAACCGTAGGGTGGTCCCATCTGGGGAGAGCTGGTGGCGGTCAGAGGTCAGGTCCCGGATGATGTTGTCCTTCTTCCAGGTGACATTGACGGCGCCTTTGCCAGCGCCCTGGCACTGCAACGTCAGGTTGCACCACTCCAGGGTGCTGGCCAGGAGCTGGCTGCGGGTCCGGGGGCTTGGCACCGACTCTGCATCCAATGGAGGGGACGGATCAGCATGGGACGGCAGGGATTTCTCCACCCTGCTCATCCCCACCACCATGCTTGTCCCCAGCAGGGCATGGCACGGCCAGCCCGGGGACCCCTGCGGTGGCAGGATTTGGCCTTTTGCAGAGCTTGAGGGGCTGCAGGTACTGGGGTGCAAAGGCTGGGGTCTAACCTAACCCTGGTAAACCCCAACATTGCTCCGTGCCTCAGTTTC